TTATCTGGTGAGCGGCGCCTCCTCCCGCTGGTCCGGCGAGGCGACCGCGGCCTTGCTGAGCACGGCGGCCGAGTAGGGCAGGAAGCCGCTCTCGGAGCGCTGCCCCGCCGCCGTGCACGGGAAGTCGGCGGCCGCGCCGCCCCGCGAGCCCAGCGCCGAGGCCGCCGCCGCCGCCGCCGCTGCTGCCGAGGCGGCCGCGCTGCTGTTGAGGCCGGCGGCGGCCGGCGTCTGGTAGAGGCCGGGGTGTCGGAAACTGCAGAGCAGCTCCGGGCGGGAGTAGGGGTGCGAGAGGGCGCGGAAAGTGTCCAGCGGGCGGATGGAGGTGGCGAAGGGCGCTGCGGCGGCTCCCGAGGCGGCGGCGGCGGCGGCGGCGGCCGTGACCCCGACGTGCGGGTAGTAGTGGAGCGGGACGTGGGAGTGGAAAGGGTAGGGCAGGCTGCCCGTGGCCGCCGCGTGGGTCATCATGTAGGTGTAGAAGCTGGGGTCGGCCGGGTGGGGCCAGGACATGGCCAGGCGCTGCCGCTTGTCCTTCATCCGCCTGTTCTGGAACCACACCTGCGGGGATACAAGCACAGCGCGGCCTCAGCTCCGCTCCATTCCTCGCCCCTCCGCGCCCGTTCCCGCGGACACCGGCGTGCACCCACCAAAACACATTGCCAAAGCTTCTAGGCTACCCCTCTCCCTCCCGGAGCAATCTCCCGTGACCTTGTCAGAGGGGAGAGGTACGGCCCTCCCTCTACTCGAGAGGGACCCCTTCGATCCGAATAAATGTTTCCCTTCGAATCGTCCCGTCCTCCCCACTCAGGACTCGGTCTTCACGGTATTGACGCTCATTCTTTCCCCCTACGTTTATTCTCTCCCCTCTTCACTTAAGGAAATAGGCGAACGCGATAAAAACTGACGAGAAAAATAAAAACAACAGTAATGACAATAACTTTTTAAGAAGCAAATGAAAAGTGTTGGATGCAGAAAAGCAAACGAGCACGAGTGGTGCTGATAGCTATGGGCCCCTCGAGTCCTTCAGCCGGAGAGCCCAGCCGGCCGCGGCCCGGGACGCTCGGGGCAGCCGCGGCTCTGAGGGGCGCGGAACGCGGCGTACCTTGATGGTGGTTTCGGGGAGATTGAGGGCGGCGGCCAGCTCGCAGCGCCGCGGCCGCGACACGTAGTTCTCGCGGTAAAACTCCTTCTCCAGGCGGGCGATCTGCTCCCGGGTGAAGGCGGTGCGGTAGCGGCGCACCTGGTCGGCCCCCGCCGCCGAGCCGCCCAGCGCGCCGCCGCTGTGCAGGCTGCCGATGCCGGCGGCGGGGGCGGCGGGAGCGGCGGCGGCGCTGGGGGTCGGGCTGCTCTCCGCGTAGCCTGCGGGGCGAGGGCACGGTGGTGAGAGCGGGAGACTCGCTGGCCCCCCGATCCTCCCGGCCAGGCCGGACCGGGCCCGCTACAGCCGTGCTCAAGGCCAGCTGTCATTCTTACAAATCCCTGCTGCTAACAGAATCGATAAATTTGGATTTGGAGGTGGTTTGTTGGTTATCGTTTGGTTGGTTGGTTGGGTTGGTATTTTTTAATCCTTCGTAACTGCTTTGTTTTCAGATTGGGCGGGCTTGGAGACTGCAGGGCAGTCGAGCTTAGGGGAGAGCGGGCGAGGGCGCGGGCCGCAGCTCGGGGCCCGGGCTCGGCGCTAGCCTGTTCCCCTTCCACTGCCGTTCTTTAGTTTCGTTTGAGACATACAAAATAAAAGCAGCCATAAACCCCCCCCTTTTTTTTTTTTTTTTTTTTTTTTTCTCTAGGGTTACGTCGAGCATCCCTGCCTTTCTCTGGCACATTTGAAGAAAAAGGCATGCACTGTGGCTCCTAGGAAATCCACCGTTTATCTCCCTACACCTTCCCAATAATAACCTCCACCTCCAGCAACAGTAACAACCACCGTGCCCCGCGAAGAACGGGGAAGGGGACGAGGCTGTTTCAAAACGCCTCTTACAAGCAGAGGAAAAGTGAACAATGCCAAATTAGCCCGAGGTGGACACAGACAGCACGTTGCATATACACAGAGAAGGACACACACAGTCAAATGCGGGCAGTTTCCTCGCATTCCCCCCTCTCTCTCTCTCTCTCTAATTTAATCTATGTATATACACTCATATACAGCTCAAGAGACGCCGAGATCTCCAAGAGCGCCGGGAAATACAGGGAGAAAGCTTTGCCTAAATATAGGTGGGTGGATATTTGTGCCCACCTATATTCTGGATATATATCTACATATCAATGGATTTGGGCATGCACACACACACACGAAGGCAGCGGCACGGGAGCTGCCCGGACAGTGTATCTCGGCTATTGGGGTAGCGCAGTAATTGTAATAATATTTTACAGCCTGGAGCTCTGTCTTCGCAGAAGAGAGAGCGCCGATGCAGAGGCCGGCAACTTTGGCGGTGGCAGTGGGTTTCCTCTGGTTTTTAAAGCCGGTTGGCAAAGTGCGGGGCTTAGATGAAGATGATAAAGGAAGAGTTACCTTTGTTACTGTTTTCCTTCAGCTGGGAGGAAGTCAGGCTGGCCGGGGAGCGGAGCGCGGAGCAGCCCACCTCCACATCACTGTTCATATCTGCCTCTTGAGCAACTTCGGAATAAAGGCTGATTTTCTTCCTGCTTTCCGACGGCGGGATTTCGGAGGAGACAGTGCTTTCACTGCTCGGATGCTGGAGATTGAATAAAGTGTCTATTTCAAATTTGCCTTTGGCGGAGATGTCCCCTATAGCGCTGTGCAGGGAGGCGGCAGTCAGTCTCGGGCTGAGGCGACCACTGTGCGGAGAATTTTCAAGGGCCTCCAACACCGCATTTCCAGCTGAGTCTGACAAATTCGAGAGCCTTTTGCCAGCTGTAGGGCTGTGCAGCCCTCTCTCCATCAGGATCATCTCTTTTCTTATTCTTTCCATCATCTCAGCTTTATAAAAAATGTCAAAGTTGCAGGGCTGGTCCTGTACTAATGATGAGCTGCAGCAGGGGCTAATTCACATTCAGCCCGGCAAGTGTCTCTAAATATTATTATCTGTTTTTGAGGGAGGTGTAAAAATTGTGGGATGCCAAAGCGAGGGAATGACTGGTCAAAATGACCCATACATCCTTTCTAGCCCGAAATGTCATTCATCAAAAAGTGGTGCTCGTCATTAAGGTACGAATGACGCTGTTCGAATAATCATTTATTGTAACAGGTTTATAAGCAAATAAATACAAGCTCCTGTCAGTGGATAATGAAGGCGGCTTCAGAGCAGACAAATATATCCAGGTGGAAAGAAAGAAAGACAAGAAGTGAGGAGTAAAGCTCCTGTCCTTAGCTTGATCAGATCCTGCTTGAATTGCTCTGGGGTTTGGCCTCTGGGGTGGAATTGACAGTCTGATTAATAAAATGAGCTGTGCAACATTTCCCCCTTCATTTAGGTGCATCATTATGCTCTGATTTTTGTTTTGTTGCCTTTTAGGTCCTAATGATGCAGCTTCTTTCTCATTTGTCCTCGGACAGAACTACATGCTAAATATTAGATAATACTTTTCTTTATTATTATTTCTGAGGCGAATTTTAGATCACAACGCAAGGAAATGCTCAAGAGGACCAGAGGATCGAGAACATCCTGCCGCTGATATCTCTTTACTTTTCTTTCCCATTTCCAGACCACTTTAGTACTTTTATTTAGGAATTTACACTGACACCCCCACGCACCCCCTCACAGGCACGAACCTTACGCCCAGACTTTACAAGTCTGCTGCCCAGATTCAAGTGTACCTACAGTAGTTACCCGAAGATTAAAATATTTGTTACAATGCAGTATATTACAACTCTATTATCTTTGTCATCCTTGCGTCCTTAAATACGATCTTGTTTTTTACTTTCTATAATCCTGCTTATCGACGAAGCTAGCCCGGGATTTTTCTTCCCTCTGGGAAAATACTGACTGTTTTACGGTATGATAGGGGAAGGAAATAACTGGAGAACATTAAATACATTCGTGATTTAAAACACTCCGTGGGCATCCATTTCATTTTCCCGGCAGGTCTCACTCCAGCTCTTTTCTTCTTTCCTCCCCACCACCAATAAAACCTAAGCATTCGAAAATTAAAAAATAATCATAGAATTAAATGACGGATGGGGGATTATTGCCTACAGGCTCCGACCTATCAGAAGCATCACCTTAACACCCTCTCTCCAAAGTTACCTGTGGCTCAGTTAGCTCATCCCTCCGCTCTTTGCCGGTGCCGCGGGGCGAAGCGTCGCCGCGCTGCTGGAGACACGGGCTGCCGCGCTCGGCAGACGTGACAGTCGGAAAGTCTCCCTTCAGTGGTAACTTTGCTAGTAATAATGACGCTGATGGCAACCATTTAAACGAAGATAAATCCTTTGTCGTTAGCATCTCTGGAGTGAGCCTCGATAGCTGCCCAACCTTTTTTCTCGCCGTGGTTTTTTTTTTCACCTACATCATCTAGTGTTTAGACCCTGGGAGCACGAATTTCATCTCCGGGAGAAACACATGAATATTTCCTGTGATTAAACGCGGGTTTGATTTTTTTTTTTTTTTTTTTTTTTTTTTTTTTAATGAGGAGAGCTCTTCCTGCTAATCTTGGTCACACGCATCTCCTAAGTTCTTGTGCTCCTGCGCATGATTCATACTTCGAAAATGGGATACTTGTCAGATTTTTTTTTCAATAGCCTATTAAAATCCCCCTAAACATTCCACCAAATATTTAAGAAATATTCTAGGCGTTGTTTGCAAAATCCAGCCTTCTATTAATGAGAGTTTTATGTCAGCCCTTTGAAATGTGAATTTAGACAGCAACGCGGTGTCCTGAGTTTTACAGCCCCCAAACCAGACAAGAGTAAATGTCAACTTTTCCTTGTCCGCGGGCGCGGCGGAGGAGCGGGCCGGCGCTGCGGGGAGAGGAGCGGTGCGCAGGTTCCGCGGCCGCAGACACCCCGCGGGGTCCCCGGCAGGGCCGGGAGCCACTGCTCCGCGGGGTCCGGGAGCGCGTACCAATTCTTAGGTGAGGTGCCAGTTTTTTCTTCCCTTGGCTATACTGACAAAAGAGACCGCCGGCTCCCGCAGCCCTCGCTCCCCGCCGGGCCCGGCTCCGCAGCAGGCGGCGGCGCGGCCGCGGCTCCCGGCGGGGCGGAGGCGGAGCGGAAACCTGCGGCCGGGTTTATTGCTGTCGTTTGGCGCCCTCGTCTGTTTTCTTACATGCTGTAACGCGGCAAGCATCTTTCCCCCCGCTCTCTCGAAAACCGCAGCCGAGGTACCACGGCTCGGAGGCAATCGTGTGTGCACGCCACCAGAACCGGCACAGCTTTAGGCTCAAAAAATGTTACTGCGCCACTAAAAAGGAGAGAACGGGTTTTATGTTATTTGGAGCGGATGAAAAAGACTATGTGAAATGTGAGAAAAATAAGTTACACTCAAGTGCGGCTATGAATGATCTTTACTAGGGTTATACTTTGCACCTTTTAAATAATACTGATTCCTTAGGTTATGTACAGAGTATCTTAAAATACAGCTAGATTCATATGCAAGGGTTATAAAGTGTTATACAACAAGTTAATAATCTTCCACTAGGCAAAGGTGAGGTTACAAAACTGTTCCCTGCAATGCAGTTAATGAGTCCACCCCAGATCCTCAACCCTCTAATAAACTAGTTGTCTGTTGTTTAAATTCCCAGAAAAGTAGAACTATTTACTGCACTGATGTTTATCTCTTTCCTTGGTGTTTGTGTGCGTAGGGGAGTTTATGTTTTGGGATTGTTGTTTTGTTGCCTTTTTTTTTTTTTTTTAATTGTTACTTTTCTTTTGTGGTGTTCAGTTCAATTTTTTGTTCGGTTGTGTTTTGTTGTTTTTTCTTTTTTTTCTTTCAAAAATAATAGCAGAGCCTACAAAATATTTCCGAATGTTTGCAGTTGTTCAAAATCAATAGCTAAGCCTGAAAAACCAGGGACATTGAAGCGACATTAGTGGGCAAAGAGGGAGGAAGTTACAGAGACCGCCGAGAAACTGCCGAAATATGTGAGCTTTTGTTAGACTCTGTTTACTCAGTTGTTCTTGTAAGTTTAAATAGCTGCTTAGGCCTTTGGCCAGATTTTTACCTTGAAAGTTATTGCTGGAGGCATCAAAGAATATTTCAGTACTCATTTATTAAATCTTGCCCGGGGAAAAGGGGTCAGGTAGTTTAATTGAAACGAAGTTCGTATTAAATGAGACAAACATCCCGGGCAACTTTTCACCAGTCAGAGCATTCCTGGGAAGACGAGCGGGAATATCTGCTTCCCATCCCGCAGCGGGGCAGGCTGCCAGCAAGGCCCCAGGGCAGCGCGCAGGAGACATCCGTGGTAGCGCAGGGTCTCCGGGACGCGGCCCGCGGGGCGGGAGAAGGCGGCGGTGGGAAGCGCGGGGACGCGGGAGCCGCTCCCGGCGGGGCCGCTCCGAGGGGCGCGGGGGGCGCGCTCCGCCTCTGCCTGCTCTGCCCTGCCCTGCCAGCACTGTCCTGCCTTGCCTTGCCCTGCCCTGACCGTCCCGTCCTATCCCGCCCTGCCCTGCCTTGCCCTGCCAGCTCTGCCTTGCCCTGTCCTGCCCTGCCTTGACCTGCTTTCCTGTCCTGCCAGCCCTGCCCGTCCTGCCCTGCCTGTCCTGCCCTGCCCGTCCTGTCCGGCCAGTCCTGCCTCTCCTGCCTGTGGTGCCCGCCGGCCCTACCTGATCTGCCCGCCGGCCCTGCCCTCCCGGTTCCCCGGCCCTGCCCGCAGGTGCTGCCACCCTTCGTCCAGCCCTGCCCGCTGGCCCTGCCCGCTCCCTGGCACCAGCCGGAGGCCGCCTGGCAGGGCAGCTCCTCTCCCACGCAGCACGCTCCTGCTCTGCCCCGTCTGTCCCCTCTGCCTCAGGCGGCCATATCGGCATAGGGCCAGTCTTGGGGCGTGTTCAGTCTATATTGTCTGTGAAATGTCAATCGCGAGTGAAGGACGCGAGCACAGCGTGTCGCCGAGTCCCGCGGGCCCTGCACACCGTCCCTGCCCGCGCTGCCCAGACAGAAATCCACGGACGCCAGGCGAGTTTCACACTACACCGGTGAAAGTTCTGAGGCTGCCTTTGCACACAGACGGGGTTTCACTCAAACGACACAGCCCACGCCCGGTCGCAAAGGGACTCGGCCGATGGCTCAGTTTGGGTTGCGGCAGGCTGCCGAGCTGGTCCAAGGTCAGGGTCCCGAGGTCCCCGCGCTGCTCCAGAGCGGCGGGGGCAGGCAGAGAGCGGCCAGCACCAGCCCGTGACCCCAGAGCTCAAGTTCAACGCCCGCAGTGCTCAGCCGCCCGCGGCCGCTGCACCGAGACCACGCGGGGAGCCCCCAGAAAACTTTCTCCGTCTCGAAACCGATTATTTAATGTTGAAGTAACTAAAGAAGTGAGAAGTTGTGGGCATAGATCTGGAGGGGGAAATAGTTTAGAACAATTCTCTACGTGTTGCTGTTCAATCTATTCGTTATCATAACTGGCTATTTTTTTAAAGGCATGGGAGAAAATGAAAGTTCTGTTTAGCTATTAAAATTTCATACGAATTAAAAGGTAACAACGGAATGCAGTGGAAACGGAATAAGGTTTGGAAGACATATAAATGGAGTGGTTTTGTTTGTGTTCTGTGTTTGTTCTGGAGGAGAATTTTTTTCTTACACCAAACACTAACATAAGAACCAACCTCCTATCGACACAATTACCATCGGCAAATTCTGGCGAGGGGGGAGATAAAAAATTCCGGGGGAGGGGGGTTCTGTAAGAGATGGATACTAGGCAGATACTAAAAGCCTGTGCTACAAGTTTGAGTGGAATCCTAGCTGTACTAAATCATGGCAAATGCACTTGTCTAAATGAGATTATTTCAGGATTGTAAAAATTAAAAAAAAAAAAAAAAAAAAAAAAAAAAAAAAAAAAAAAAAAAAAAAAAAAAAAACTACACCTTTTTTTTTGGGGACAAAAGACCACAACCTTTTCTTCTGGGGAAGCACAAGCACGCCTGCAGCGTTGCTTTCTAGCTCGTGTATTCTGCAGATTCCCGTGCGATGTGTCAACGGAAAATGCGACGCGACTCCTCGGGGCGCTGGCCACCCGCGGAAGCGCTGCCCGGAGAGGACAAGGACGGCCTCGCAGGGAGAGACACCCGGCCAGCGCGGCAGGTCTCCTGCCCTGCCCGACACGGAGCTGAGCCCCGATGGGAACTGTTCTCCCTGGGCAAAGGAAGCGCCGAGCTGCTCGGGGCCTCCGCACGGCCCCCTGCACCGGCGGTGCGGGACCCATCCTGCTACTTGTAAACTGGGTGGGTGCTCTCCGAGAACCGACCTTTGCTCATGAGACCATTTATTCCTGTGTATAATATCCTGCCATGCAAGGCGATGTTGTTTTCTACACCCTTCACAAAGCAGCTCATTATAGAATTGAGGCTTTTGGTCATGAACCCGCCCAAAGAGTTTTTGGTACACCGAGGGGCTCTCGCTGGAGCAGGGGTCTCGGCAGGGCTGAAGACCTCTACTGGAGTGGCTGCGGCTGCACCGTGGTTTGCTTTGATGCAATCGACCTCAAAAAGCTCCCAAACCCTGCTCTTTAGGTGTTCCTTTCTTTCGCGGCCTTATTTAAAGGTCCTGACATGAGAGAAATTTTTACTGCATTTATTGAAAGAGGAAACACAACGGGATGTGGGAATACATATAGAAAGACGTCCGGAGAAATAAAGTCCTTCGTTTCTCTGGACTTCTTTTTATAGCGACGTTTTCGGTAGAAAGTTCCTTGCAGCGACATAAAAGGGTGAGAAAATTGTTCTTCGACAAAACTTCCTTCTAATTACGGAGGGTTTAATGTCCTGAAAGTAAATACTGATTCGGCTTATAACTGAGAGAAACATGTAATCACGCCTGGCTCACTCCTTAGCTGATTATGAAAGATTAATAGCAATTATGCGGTCAGAGCTAATGAACATGAACTCGTCTATAACATTCGGTTGTTGCCGTAATTGTGGGCACCCGTTTGTCATTCCAAACCCCGCTTCCAGATACAGCCGACGATTATTAGACCGGCTACAAAGTAGGGCTGCGTGACGGGCGGCTGCTGCGGGACCAGCAGCTATCCCGCGGCAGCCCAGCGACAGGGGAGCTCCGCCACCACCTGCCCGGGCTGCCCAGCAAGGGCACCCCCAGCGCCCGCAGTGGTGTCGGTACTGAGTTCCATCTCCATGGCGCCTGCCTCTCCTCTCTCATGCGCCAGAGCCTCCGGAAGGACAGTAAACACAGCCCCAGCTCTATGGTTTTCAGCGGCGCGGAGTTTCCCTGTCCTTCCCCGCGAAGCTGACACTTTTCCCAGCAACTTCTTGCCCTCCGCGCCCAAGAGAGAGCAAAGTGTGCAATACACAACTGCGGAGCGACTGGACTCGGTCCAGAGGGGTAGGGATTGGAGTTGTGGTTGAGGTTGTGGTTGGGGCTGGAGCTGGAGCTGGAGCTGGAGCTGGAGCTGGGAGCCGTCTTCGGAGCTTTCTCCATTTCCAGTATTTCGCGCTCCTGCATTTCTATCCCAATTCAGTGTGACAGTCAAGGGAGACGACAGAAGGATTTGCCACCGTCTTGGGAAGTCACGACGAAAACAGCCGTCAGCGTAAGCAAACTCTGCGTTTTAACTAGGCTGCCTTACCACGACATGAACTGACACTGCACGGGGAAAAAGCCACATCTAATGAGTGCCAGGTTTACCATCTTGCGCTGCCCACAGACCCCGAGCATTTTCCTAGCCGGCAGCAATATCGGGGGTGCGGTGGGCAAGGGGGGGTGGTTAAAAGGAGGGTTCTCCCAGGGACCGACAGTTCAGTGAAGCCAGGGGACCCCTTTTCCCATAGAACAAAGCCCATCTACTCCATATATCGCCGGGAAGAAGGGAGGTGGGGAGGATGGAATGCAAAGACTGTGTTGGGGTTTTCCCCCTCTTGCAGAGGCAACAATGAACTGGAGAAGGTCTCGCTGTGGATCCGGTAAGACCCCTGTCCGTGGATGTAAAAAAGGCCCCTGCCGGCGGCCTCAAAAGGTCCAGTGGTACTCGGCTGGCCTTTTTGAAGCCGCGAGCAGGAGGAAGGGGGAGATGAAGCAACAGGGGCCTAGGTTGGTCCGGAGGGACATCACCGCTGCTCGCCCGCCCAATCTCCCCCCGCTCCAGCTCCGGGGCCGTGGCGGGGCCGGAGCGCGGCGGCGGGGCGGGGGTGGGAGTAGAGGGTGGGGGCGCCGTCGGTGCCGACCGGGGGGCTGCGAGGCGAAAGGGGCAGTGCGGGCAGCGGGAGGGTCACATGTTCCGACGGCAGCCTATGAGCAGCCCCCCGGGCTGAGGCAAACTAATCTGGGGCCGGCCGCCCCCGCCCCGGTCCCCCCTCCCAACCTGGACTTCGTTTTTATAAACGTACCGCCAGGATCCAACCTGTTGGAGGCAAATAACCATCCGCATCATGCCCGGCCCGGGACCGAGCCGCCGCCGCCGCCGCCCGCGATGTGCAAGGCCATGAGCAAAGCAGCGAGTTGGGAGATGGACGGACTGCGCGGCGACAGCAGCGGCGGCGGCGGCAGCGGCGGCGGCGGCGGAGCCCCCGGGCAGTGCCGTAATTTTCTCTCCTCGCCCGTTTTCGGGGCGGCGCACACGGGCCGAGCGGCCGCCGCCGCCGCTGCCGCCGCCGCCGCCTCGGGTTTTGCCTACGCCGGCGGAGGGGAGCGCTCGGGGGCGGCGGCGAGGCCCGACCCCCCGACCAAGGACTGCCCGGGCTCCACCACGCCGGCCGCCGCCCCCGCGCTGGGCTATGGGTATCACTTTGGCAATGGATACTATAGCTGCAGGATGTCCCACGGGGTTGGGATACAGCAAAACGCCCTGAAGTCTCCCCCCCACGCCTCCATTGGCGGCTTTCCCGTGGAAAAGTACATGGACGTCTCCAGCTTGACCAGCTCCAGTGTCCCCGCCAATGAAGTCTCCTCCAGGGCAAAGGAAGTGTCCTTCTACCAGGGCTATACAACCCCCTACCAGCACGTTCCTGGGTACATAGACATGGTCTCAACGTTCGGCTCTGGGGAACCGAGACACGAAACATACATATCAATGGAGGGCTATCAGTCTTGGACTCTGGCTAATGGCTGGAATAGTCAGGTTTACTGTGCCAAAGATCAGACACAGAGCTCACACTTCTGGAAATCGTCCTTTCCAGGTACGAGAGGGGGAGAAATGGTCTGAGCAGAACACCCCCGCGCCTCCTCCGCCTTCCCGTCCCCTCCCCCGCCCCCGGGCTGCAGGGGCGGCCTGCCGAGCTGGACACGCTGCACAGACACGCAGAGAGCAGGGTGGGGGCGGTGGATATTCTCTTTTTCTCACTCCCCCCTCGGCCGTCTACCCCCGAGAAAATCCTCACCCTCTGCTTTCCATACCCGCGGGACTGACCCCAGAACATCCCCGCCACCAGCGCAAGGCCACCGACCCCCGGGCCGCGAGCACCGGGGCGGCCTCGGGCTCCTTCTCCCGCTGCTTCCCTCGGTGGCCGGGTTTATAGTCGCGTTTGAAGTTTGCAGGACGGTGGCTCGAAGGCTTGCTCTCCTCTGCCTCTCCGGCTGGCGACTGATCCGGCGGCCCCAGAGCACTTAAGAGACCGCGAGCAGTGAGGGCACAGAGGCACAAACCACATGCAAACAAACCCGGGAAACTCTCACCAAAGCGATTTCTGTGTGTGCGCTGCCAGCACCGAGCCGCTCTCAGCCCCCAGCCAATGCCCCCACCGCCCTGCATGCTCGGTTAGCGATGCATGCCTGAAAAGTGATGACAGTCCATCAAAGTTTTGGTGGTGCTTTACTAGAGTGCAAATAATGTGGCAGTGTAAATAATAATAAACTGTAAACAACCCGGCATTATTTATTTGCCCATGAAAGCCAGTGTCCAACAAGTATCGGTTAAGTTTTAAAAGCCTGTAATAAAATTCTGATTTTTCACATCATGTCTTTTACAATAGGGGACGTTGCACTAAACCAGCCCGATATGTGTGTCTACCGGCGAGGGAGGAAGAAGCGAGTGCCGTACACAAAACTGCAGCTTAAAGAACTCGAGAATGAATATGCCATTAACAAGTTCATTAACAAGGACAAGAGGCGAAGGATATCCGCAGCCACAAACCTGTCTGAGAGACAAGTTACCATTTGGTTTCAGAACAGGAGGGTGAAGGATAAGAAAATAGTCTCCAAACTGAAAGACAACGTGTCCTGATACATTAATTGCGGACAGTGATGAAAATATAAACTCAATTTACCACCAGCTAAAGACTTTCGAAAAAACTTGAAAATATATTTAATTTTTTGTTTGTCCTTCCAGCGGTGGCGAAATTTCGGGAATTGTTTTCCGTGAAAGTCAGCATTTTTCTCTCAGTGTAAGGGAGTGTTGACAAGTTTTGAATTGAATTATAGTTTCTTCTTTTTGAAAATAATAATAATATTAATATTAATTATATTTTCTGTTCTTCCCTCTAGGCCAGTATAAAGGAATTTAAATATGTTTAACGGTAAAAGTTATAATTTTTTAAAGTGCTTAAATCTTTGAGGGGTATTCCGTGATTTTTTTAATTTTTTTTTTTCTCTGAGCAACAGCCAGTGCCAGAATATGTCAGTTTTGATTTGGTATCGTAAACTTCAAAGCATGCCGAGTGAAAAAAAAAAAAAAAATCATTCGGAAATACAAGAAAGCCGGAATACAGACCCGTGGCAGCACCCGGCTTCTCCCAAACTTGCCTGGTCCACTGGGACCCGGAGAGAATTGAGTGGCGGGCTACTGGCTGCAGCAGAATTTTTAATTACTTTGTCGAGGAAGGGAGAACCTCTCCCAGCTGTTGCGGGGCTCAGAATCGCAGGCGTGTCCCACCGCGCTCCCCGCTCCTGCAGGTTTGGGGTGAGCCTGGGTTTGTGGGTTTTATCGGCCGCAGTTTCGTTTTCAGTGCAAGGAGTCCACGCTGCCCGGCTGAAAAGGGAAGCTCTCGTGTCCCGGGCTGAGCGCTCGGGGCAGCGCTTTCGGCAGGACGGCTTGGCCAGCTCGCCCTGCAGCCAGAGGAGAGGCTGCCCCTGCAGAGGTGTGTATGGACCCGCACAGACCTGGCGGGGAATGCTCGCTCTTCCCTGGACCAGCCCGAGACTCTTCTACTTCCTCACGCCCAAAAACTCCTTGATGGACAAGCCAAGGTCACTGCTAGGTTTTAATTTACAAAACTAAACGGGTGTTTATGACAGAAGCAATAAATAAGGAAATTCAAAAGATGCCATAATTTATATGGGCCGAAAGGCTAAGATTTTGTCGATTTTTTTATTATTTTAAATCTAGTGTGCATGTTATGATATACACAGGGTGATCAGACGCGCTTATCAACAACCAGGAGAGAGAAGCGGTATCCTCTCTGTTAATGTGCCTCATCTAATTATGAAAATGTGTTCCAAACTAGTATTATTTATTATAATATACTATTGCTCTAAACATTTTGATTACCCTTGTATGTGGTAAAACATACGATAAGCCTATTTCTCCATAAAACATTTTTTTTAAATTGTCTTAAATTCAGCATTTACTTTGTGTTGGAAATACAATCTGAAATTTCAAACTGTTAACGATGTTGCAAATCTTTTCCTGAACCATCTTTAATAAAAATATTTCTTTTCGCTGTACATAAAAAGAGAAAGAAATTCGCCTTCTTTTGCCGCAGGGGGTTTCGCGGGCTCCTGAAATCCTCTCAGGGACACAGTACGCCGTTCCTAGCAAATGCGAGGTAGATAGAGGGGCATTAAAGGATGAGGAAGAGCATCCGAGAGTATCTTGTCGGCAGGAAAGGGTTTTAGTGAGAAAGACATGCTGCCGGCGAGCAATAAGGGGTTTGGGAAGCAGCAGAAAGGCTGTGTCTCCCCTCTCCCTCCGAGCCCCCTCCGCCTGCCCGGTGCCTGGCGGCCGAGGGCCGTCCCTTTGTTCTCCATTTCCAAAATGTCCCGGCACTTGCCGCTTCCCCGGCGGCCGGCCCGGAGCGATGCCCCTCGGTTTTCTCCGCAGCCGCCTGGCTCCATCGGGAGGTTATCTTCCGCCTCCTCCGCCCTCTTCCTTCCCCTTTCTACTCTGCTCGCACGTTCCTGACGTTTGTTTTCCCTGAAAATAGGAAAAAAGTCCATTTCTGAGCAGTACAGATTTTATCGCAAAGCGCATTTTTGTTCAATTTTAGTATAAAAGGACACTTGTGTCGCTCGTCATTTACGTGCCTGGAACAGCCCGCTCTGCTGACGCAACCTTCTTTTCTGCGAATGTTTTAAATTCTTGTCTTCTCCTCCTTGGCACCCCCACTCACCCACACATACTGCCATTAATTCTACAGAGGTTTTTCCTCCCACCGAGTCTCCCTGCAGACGGACGGCCGGGCACTGCCAGAGCTGTTTTGTTCCCCGGCCGCGGAGCCATCGCGGGCTGCTCTCTTCCTCCTTCCAGGCTTAACCTTTGCCTTTGCCGGGCTCCGTGCTTTCAGAAGGCGCAGCTTGCCGAGCCAAAGCCGCCTTCCTCGGGCAGAAGGAAACCCGAACTGTCTGGCAAATCGGTACCAGATGGAGAGGACTCGCCTTTTAGTTTCGTAAGACCGTGCAGAATCATTAAGAAGCCAGCAGCTACAGGCCGGAGGAAGATGAGGCGCACAGCTGCCCCCTTACCTACCGGCTGAGATTAAAAAGGTTTTCTAAGCCTGGAGCTGGGGCATTGGTGAGCCTCGTTCAAAACCTCCTTGGCCACAGCTTGGGCTCTTCAGGACATCAGCTGCATGTGGCCCCGGGGCCGGGATGCAGCCCCAGCTGCAGGCGGCCACAGCGGCCCGTGTTTAGAGAAGAGGGCATGAAGGTTCGTCCGAAATGTAGCGCGGGTTACTGCAGATAATTAACATGTACCTCGACAAACCGAGTTGCAAATGCACAGTGGCGCAGTGATGCATTGCCCGGCTCCTGTCAGGCAGCGCTCTTTCCCAGCCATGTCTGAGGCAATCCTGCCATCTCCTGGACAACCCCCGGCATAGGCAGGGAAGCCTTCTCCTCGCTTCGGGCGCCGCGTTCCCGAGTGATAAACGAGCGAGGGAGGCTGTTGGGTCGCACGCAGAGCGCCCTTCGTCTGTAAACTGGAAGACTATGCCAGTGAAATTACAGTGTGTGGCCAGCTCTGATGTCCAGGCCTATCCGGACGCCTGTTTAAAAAACAGGGAAGGAAAAAAAAAAAAAAAAAAAAAAAAGAGGAAAAGAGGAAAGGAGCGTGTGAAAGCAGGCCCCCGGGTCGCCCTGCTCCTCAGTGGTGATATTTCCTGTACAGACACAGGCGGGGGGACACCCGAGGCATTAACACGCCGCCCCCAAACCAGCAGCCGGCTGCGGCTGGAAAAAGCAGCACAAGCCCGAACGAGGCTCTCCTTCCACTCCACCCCGCTCCCCTCGTCTCCGAGGCCAGCCGCCTCTGGAACATGATGTTTCTGTAAATGTTTTTCCATGTAGATTTAAACATTTTCCGTAACTGTGAGTGTCTCCAGCTATTTCAGATTTTTATTAGGTTATATTTTTTCTTTTTCCTTTTTTTTTTTTTTTTTTTTGTGTTAATTAGCAATTACAAATGAGTTGAATATTAATTGAAAGCTCTGTTTTCTCTAACCCCATAAAAGTTAGTTTGAAGTGTCACCTTTCTTTCCGGTAACTGGGAACTCACATCCATTCCTTGTGTTTATTGCAGACAAAAATATAGCCTTTGAACTGAATGTTCCTTTTCTCTTCCAAGAACTGAAAATCAGCTCTTTCGTAAAATACATTATAAAAAAAAAATATTCCCATCTTCTAACACAAAGTTAGAATACAAGCTAATAAGAGGGAGATTCAATTGGTAGACATAACTCAAACAATAAAAATTAAAGGCAGTGGTCAGCAATATCCTCCAGCGGTGCTTGTGTGGTCCTGTGTGGTCTAGGAGAGAGCAATCATTTAAAGATTTTTTTTCCAGGGCAATGAAATTACTGCAGAATTTCCCTCAATTTCCCATTAAACAGAAAGATGAATTTGATTAGGACAATGTCAAGAAGGGCAGCGTCTCTGATCTCGCCTTAGAAATAAAACCAAGATTAAAACTGTGATTAAGAGGATAATAACAGGGAAAATTAACCCTACCTGCTAACTAGGTTCAAGTTTTTAACCGAGGTAATGAAAGTGGGAAAGCCCGGGCATTAAGGCTTCGCTTGACGCCGGATTCGCACACCCCGGGGAGACCTTGGGAGAGAGGCCGAGGGCAGAAAAGCTCGGTCCGGGGGGCGAATCGGCCTCCAGAGTGTCCTGCGGATTTGTGGGGTGGTGGGGCAGGGAGCGCCCATGGGTACTCCACTCCTTCTCCAGCATTCCAGCTCCCTGCCAGGGTCTTTGAGTGCAGTACACGGGGCCTTGCCTCTTCCCTGTCCCGCGAACCGCACGGTTTGGGAAAGGACACGAGCAATCTTCTGTGAGGATGCTCTCAGATATGATTTTAATAACTCTGGGGCTGTGGGGAAATGAGAGAGATAATGGAATAAACGAGCTCTTATTTGATCAATCAAAAATATAAAAATACGTGTAATTCTCCAAAATGACACAGTAATAAAACAGTGAGGGATGATTTTCTTCACATGAGAGAAAAACTCCTCATCCAAAACCTGGGAGATGAGGCTGACTCTCCCCTCCCTCTGCCCGCTGCTGCATTCATACCCTCTCTGCTGAAGAGCAGAACCTGGCATTTTCTTTCTTGAATTCTTTCGATTTTATTTATCTGTTTATTTTTTTTTATTTTATCTCAGAGGGTTGCTCAAGTAATTCCTTGTTGTTGCTGTTGTTATTCTCTGTTTGTTGATGTTTGTTTGATTGTAATTCAAAGACAAAACAGATTCCGAGTTTTAGAAACGCTGTTTGCCTAGAAGGGCTTCCAAGTGAAGATGAAAGGCAAAAGGGGTAAAAAGGGCAGACGTGAGGACCTAAGAGAATACTGGTCACTAGTGTGCCAGAATGACGATCCCGGTAATATCCGATCCATTAAGACTTTATTTGCACGCATATGCGGACGCATATCATGCAGCTAGGGGCAGAAGTACGTACGTATGCCCTAAATATCCACATCTCACAGACATCACAAGTTATTTCCAGTCCTCGGTGCTCACTCTTACCGTGGGTATGGTTCTGGCCCGGAGGGTGCTGCCGGCCGGGGGG